CATGAAGAATATTCTCCGCCTTATCATTCTCACCTTTCTCCAAAAGAGTTCCAATCATTGTTTTAAAAGTTACAAAATTTGGGAGGCACCCATTGTCAATCATTTGAAAAAGTAATGCCCGTCCGTCATCAAACAAGCCCTCTTTACAGAGTCCATTAATCATAGCAGTATATGCTTGGACATTTAGAGGATGACCATTAGCCAAAAGATACTGAAAAACTTGTTGAGCAGTATTTAATTTACCATCCTTGCACAAACCACCAATAAGAATGGTATGTGTGTAAATATCAGGTTGTTTTCCTAGGACACCCATTTCTTCAAATAGCATAATTGCTTCATCAAGACGCTGGCTCTTGCACAATCCATCCAACAAAACATTGTAGCTTACTATATCTGGTGGATGACCACTATCATGCATATCATAAATAAGTTCCTGCACGTTTGAGATCTTTCCTGATTTGAACAGGCCATCAATAAGAGTACTATATGTCACAATATCAGGAAACAAACCTTTGCATTGCATTTCTTGAAAGAGATCCATGGCTTCACCAATCCTTTTCATTTTACATAACCCATTAATCAAGATATTGTAACTGAAAACATCAGGCAACACATCACTTTTGATCATTCTATTAAGAACCTTCTTCGACTCATCAACATTATTCATCTCATTGTACCCATCCATTAAAGCATTGTAAGTAATAACATCAGCCTTTGTACCACATTTCATCATCCTACCAACTATTGCCTCAGCTTTGGTTATCCTCCCCTTTTTACAAAATGCACCTATCAATATATTGAAGGTATAAATACTAGGTCTGATGCCTTCTACCACCATTTTATTTAGAAACCACGTGGCTTCGTGCCATTGATCCATGCAACAGAAACCATGTATTAGAGAGTCGTAGGTAATAATATCCGGAGATATTCCCCTATCAGTCACTTCATGATATAACTTTTTTGCCTCAATTGCAAGCCCTTCTTTACAAAGACCATCGATTACTGTGTTGTACACAACTAAACCAGGCTTAACTAATCCCGTCTCCATCTTTCGAAGCAATTCAAGAGCAGCAGACGTTTTTCCAATTTTACAAAAGCCATTAATCAGGATGCCATAGCTTACCTCATCTAGCTGAAATCCTTTTGTCAATATGTCATTGTGAAAGACAAGGGCTTCTCTAACGTTATCATTAATGCAGAGACCTTTCAACAGAGTACTTAAAGTTATTATATCTGGCTGACGGCTCATCTTGAGAATCTTCCCTAGTATAGAGAAAGCAAAAGACATATTGCCCAAATGGCAGTAACAATTGATTAAGATGTTCAGAGTAACTAAAGAAGGCGTGAATCCCTTGCATTCTGCTTTTGTGAAAAGGGAAATAGCAGTTCGGTGATGCTTCATCTTCACGAGAGATCCTAGAATCTTATTAATACGAGTTATAGAGGGTTGGGGATTCATATGAAGCAAGCTATGAAATGAAGAGATAGCCTCTTCAATGCTCTTAGGCTTTGGCGAATGGGAAAAATATCTGGGGAAGGCGTACCTTGTAGTTTTACAGAAAAGCATGTTCATTATCAAAAATTGAGATCTGCTGAGGAGGAAGGGGACAATGGGACTGTGAAGAACCAGACGCCTGAAGATCACAAGCGCTCGCCACAAAAAGTCTTCCGCTATCTTCGGCTGCGACGGCGAGCCTAGGAATGGAGGGTCACCTTTGTTTTTCAGAATAGATATTTTTTTTTTTTTTTTCCGAATAAGAAGGCAAGCGAGAGCTTGAAGTACAAACAACAACAAAAAGGATCCGCCTAAGTCAGGTGCGTCCTGAGACAAAACTCAGCGTCCTGATGCATTTGGTGAACACAAAATCTTGGGGGATTTTGAACCTGATTCAGCTCCATAGAAACTTTGTGAGCCTTCCTCGCTAGGTAGTCCGCGCATCGCAGCGATTCCCTACAGGCGTATGATATTTCCAGGTTCCAGTTTGAGAAGATAATGGACCTTGTTTCATCGATTTCCTCCTTAAATGGATGTGAAGTTCCACCTCCATGCTGGAGGAGGTATAACGCCTCTCTCGAATCTGTGTACAGCTTGATCTTTGAGAGGTGTAGCTTTTTACATAATACTAGTCCCGCTCTAATCGCCAATAGTTCAGCAATTGTCGAACCCACTGGTCCCAAATTCTGTTGAAAGCCTGATAACCAATTCCCGTCTTCATCCCGCAGTATCCCTCCACACGCCGCTTGATTCTGGTCAGTCACAGAGCCGTCCACATCCACTCTGACATAGGATGGTGGTGGTGGGGTCCATGTATCATCTGCTTCCACATTTGCTTGGAATATCTGATGTTTAAGCTGGTTGTTCTCCACTTCTTCCATGAGCATGTGTAGACAATGGTTAATCAATTCCCTGGGTGATACGTGATCTTCATTAAACGCCTTCTTGCACCGATTTTTCCATATCATCCAGCAGACTAGAGAAAATACTCTAAACCACCTCCACTTTGATATTTGTCTTGAACCTGGTTCATTCTCTAAGTTCCACCGCAGCCAATCCTGAAAATTACCACTAAAAAAACCAACATAATAAACAGGGTTAATGAAAGCAGACCACACTCCATGGGCATTTTCACAGTCTCTCAGGGTGTGTAGTAGTGTTTCCTCACAAAGGCACTCAAAGGGGCACTCTGGAACGGTAGTATTGCAGTGTTTAGCTCTGGCAAGATTAGTTGGTAGTCTCTCATGAAACAACTGCCTACATAAAAACTTTCACTCGCTCCGGGATGTCCTGTTTCCAGACAAAATTCCAGTGAGAATTCTTTGGTCTAATATTCTGAGTTGACACCCAATTGTAAGCTGACTTTATGCTAAAAGTGCCATCTGAGCTCTTCCTCCAGTAGAAGACATCTGGTCCTTCACAAGCTGGGGGTGGTATATTCTGGATTTTATCTACTACCCACTGAGGTAAGAAAACGCTCCATTTTCTTAAATTCCACTCCCCCCTTTGCCGCATAAACTGGCTAACCTTAGCCTCCATATCGAGGGATTGGTGGTTTTTGATCACATACTCTTTGAGTGGTAAATCGAGTGGGGCCCAAGTTTCCTGCCATGCTTTAGTGTTTGATCCACTCCTGATTCTCTTCCCCACACCCTTTGAAAAAGTTTCCCAAACTGCAGTAATACTCCTCCATACTGCTGATTGATTCCCTTTGGCCACTACCTTTGGCCATTCTTCGCAGCCACAATTGTACTTGGCTTTCAAAATTTTTACCCACATAGCGTTTGGCTTGGTTAGGAGACCCCAGCATAATTTCAGGATAAACGCCGTGTTTTGGAAGTGCAGATCTTTAACTCCCAATCCCCCCGTCTGTTTATCACTTTTAATGGTATCCCAAGCTATCAAATGCAACTTTCTCGCATCAGCTGAATGATTCCAGAAGAAGTCCCTACACAGCTTCTCAATTTCTGCCAAGACTCCTTTTGGCAGTAAGGTTGACTGCATCTGGTAGTAAGGGAGAGCAGATAGGACAGATTTTATCAGAACTACTCTACCTGCCATGCTTAAGTACTTTCCCTTCCAGCTAGCAAGCTTCTTTCTAACCTTTTGAACAATCGGTGCAAAGGTTACCTTCATCATTCTCTTATGCAGTAAAGGAACCCCTAGGTATCTTCCAAGGTCTGCAGTTAGTTTAATTCCCAACCAATGACTGAGGGAGTTCGCTCGGCTTGAGTGGACATTCCTGGAGACAAACATTCTGGATTTCTGAAGGTTTATCTTATGTCCTGACACTTCACAGAAGAATCTCATAGTATTTCTTATCTCTTCCATTTGGGCTTGAGAGGCTTCACTGAATAAGACCAAGTCATCTGCGAAGAACAAGTACGTTAGTTTAGGTCCCCCGCTGCACAGCGAGATGGGTTTCCACCGCCCCTCTTGTACTTCAGTATTTATCAGTTGGCCTAATCTTTCCATACAGATTACAAAAAGGTACGGACTTAGGGGGTCACCTTGTCTCACCCCCCTTGTTGGGAAGAACGTTTCAGTGGGTATGCCATTCCATAACACTCTCATGGAAGCTGAGGAAACACACTTCATAATCAAGTTGACAAAACTACCACTTAGGCCCAAACTGCAGAGTGTAAATTCTAGAAACTGCCAGTCAAGTCTATCATACGCTTTTTCCATATCAACTTTGATCGCTACAAATCCTTGCCCACTCCTCTTCGACCTCATGGTATGAATTACCTCTTGAGCAATAATGATGTTATCGCTACTATGCCGCCCACTGATGAAGCTGCACTGGTTCGGTTGAATCAATAAATCCATGACTCCTTTCAGTCGGTTTGCCAGTACTTTACTGAGGATTTTGAAGCAAACATTGCACAGTGAAATGGGTCTAAAATCCTTGAGTTCAGTCGGATGATCAACTTTGGGAATCAGCACAATATTAGTGTGGTTAATCTCATTTAATCCTGTCGGATCTTTAAAGAGTTTTGCAATCAGCTCACAAACTTTTGATCCTATCTCTTGCCATTGTGATTGGAAGAAGTGAGGTTGTAACCCATCCGGTCCTGGTGCTTTGAAAGCACCCATGTCAAAAGCCGCTGTCTTTATTTCTATTTCTGTCACTTCACGCTGAATGAATTCAATCTGTTCTAGGGTAAGGGAGGGAAACCCCGCTGGCCAGTTATCTACCTTCTTGACATACGGGTCCTTTGTGTAAAGAGCTTTGAAGAAATCACGGGCCATTTGACTTAGAATTTTCTGATCAGCCTGCCAAATTCCATTTTCATCCTGCAAAGATTCAACCTTAGATCTCTTTCTTTTCATCACAGTGGTAGCATGGAAGAATCTCGAATTTTTGTCTCCAAATTTGAGCCACTGGCATCTTGATTTTTGGTACCAAATTAGCTCCTCTTGCGTGGTAAGTTTCCACAACTCCCTCCACAACTTTTTTTCTAGTTTGAAGAGACCATTACTGGTATTTTGCTGCCGAACCCTATCAATTCCCTCCAACCTCCTCAGAACCTCCTTCTTCTTCTTTTTTTTTCTTTTTGGGGATGTTACCAACCACTTTCTCATTCCACTCAGAAACCTTAATTTCAAAGGAAATTCTGCCTTCATTCCAGTTCTTCCCTTCCCAAGTTGCCTTGACTAGCTCTTTGAAATCAGATTCAAGGCACCACGCTGCCTGATATTTAAAGGTTTTCCTTGAGTTTTGAAAGCTGTCAATTTTCTCTCCGGCCAGCACCAAAACTCTATGATCAGACTTGAAGCGTAGCTGGTGGTAGACTTTGAAGTGAGGGTGTGTTAGCTCCCAGTCTGAATTACAAAAGGCCCAGTCCAATCTTTCTCTGACTCTTTCTCTTTCCCACGTGAAACGGTCCCCTACTGCTGGTATCTCCATCAGTTCACAGTGATTCACACAAGATTGGAAGGATTCCATCATCTGCCTAACTGGTGGTGTGCCCCCTAACTTGTCCCCAGGCTCCAAAAAAGCATTAAAATCACCCATTACAGTCCAGGCCCCGTTGACACTCTCCGCAATCTTTTTCAGGGACTCCCATAGCATTCTTCTTTTGCATATTGTGGTGTCGCCGTAAACAAAAGTGGAGAATATTACCTCACCCGAAGAAATGTCCGTGAGTTTGCAATGGAGCAATTGCGTGTTGGAATAAATATATTCAACAGACACTTCCTCCTCGTTCCATAGGACCCATATTCCTCCTGCATAGCCAGTGGCTTCAACCCTGATCCAGTTATTAAAACCCAATCAGCGTATCACTTTCTCTGCTTTAACTCCACTTATTCTAGTTTCAAATAAACCCATGACATTGATACTATACTTCCTTACAATATCTCTAAAAATACGTGGAAAGGCTCTACCAGCTGCCCCACGACAATTCCAGGAAGAGATAATCATTAAAGACAAAAAGGAAAGACCCCCAAACAATAGCAATCACCTTATTGATCGGGTGGTTTACCTTCACACGAGATGCCCTTGCGTTGCACACTTCCAGATATACTAGTCCCCGAGAGATTCTTTCCTGGTTCATCCTCCATAGCTTCCCACAGAGGGGCTTGCGCAATTGATGTATTCTCTGTCTCCATTAATTTCCCTGCCAGGCTTGGTTGATTCTCTGAACAAATGTTGCCACCTTCTATGACGCCTTCCATCACCACTCCTTCCATTTTCTCTCGGTGGGCTTCCTTATTCTGTTCTAGCATTATGGGCTCTGTCGACTTTGAACTTCCACTGACAACTATATGGGTCCTTTGACTGTGTTTCCTGGGCCCTACTTTTGTGCTTGTTTCCTGGACTCCTCCTTCTTTCTCTGTCACCGAACACTTGCTGGTTTGGGCTTTTGTTTTCTGTGCTACCAAAGCGGGACTTCTATTTTCTTTTCCCAAGCCCATCTGTCCTGTTTTAACTTTAAAACCCCCTTTCGATTTTTCTTTTCCTTTGGGCATAGGACCCATCTTCTTTTCCTTCTGGTGGTCTACCCGCCCTTCGTAGATGACTATTTCATTCCCAGATTTTGTCAGCAGATTAGCCCTCCCGTCTAGATCAATGGACCTACCGTCTTGTTCTTTCAGCTCTTCTTCCAGGTCTGCTATAGCTGCAAATCTTGTCTGTGGATATCTTTTCCCTTCTTTTTTTTTGTACTGCTGATGAGACCCATTTCCGGCTCCTGTACTGTTCCTATTCACAGTCCTCGAGTTCCGTATTCGGCTCGGACCTTTGACAAACATCCATGGTCCGAATTTCTCGTCCTCTGTCGTAACTGGGGTCGCCGGCAAACTGTAGTTCGGTGATGCTACATTTGGGGTGCTATTGCACTCCTCCTGCTGTTCTCCTGAGCTAGGCTTCCATGGGCAAGCTTCCTTTCGGTGCCCGTACCTACCACACGAGAAGCATATCAGCCCCAGACCCTCGTACTCGACATTATACAGTGCCGAAGTGCAGATTATTCTTGGTACCAGTTTCTTCTGCAGGTCCAATTCCACACAGATACGTGCGAACCGTCCTCTTTCCACCTTTGCTTTTGACTCTTCGATATTGGCTATCGTGTGCATGTCCACCTTTATTGTCTTTCCTATCATGTCTCCTAGTCTCCATATATACTTCTTTGAGTAGCAGTGCAAAGGTATATTTGGAATCCTCACCCAGGTGGCAATTCTCCCTAGAGGGTTCTGGAAAGGGTCGAAGTAAGGAGACCATCGTTGAACCAGTACACTGTGTTGAGCTATGATCCACGGACCCTCAAAAAGGACCTTCTTGTATCTTGCTCCCCAAAGTTCATCGTCACCAAAACGAACTACATAGTAATTGTTTGGGAGGTCAATAAGCTCGAAATCACTGAATCCCCATATCCTGGATAGCTGGTCTCTTAATCTGGATAAATGGAACCTCGCACCAAGAACTGTGATAACTAGTGCATTATTCCACGGTTGGCAACATTCATTGAACTCCTCCTCAGTGCATGGAACTACCGGGTATACTTCCATTAGTTTCTTGATATCTTCCGATGGTTCTGGTAGTTTCCATGTTTGATCTAATAAATCAGATAGCAATGGGTCTTCTTCCATAGTTGAGTTACTGTGAGCAATCCCATTGAAGCCCTGGGCTTTGAAACCCAAGAGGGAATCTCGATATGACCTCCCCTGTTCTTTTTCGCTGCTGTGCACTTTAGACGTTTGGGGCACATTTTCATCGAAACAACCTTCCGCATCTTCCATTTTGTCTGACATCAGTGTGTCTTCCTTGATCTCCTTCTTTGATTTTTTTGACTGAATCTGCAAAGTCCCCTCTTCCGAAGTACGATCCGGAGGGATTTTCCGGCAAACAGGTTCGCCCATCACAAGTGAAAGTAAAGCGGCACACGTTTCAAGAGAGAGAATCCTGCTGTAATTTAGAATAGATATTTTTAATACCAGTTCATTCAGTACTAAATATAAAATTTATTTTATATTTACATTAAGTATAAAATATAGGAAACCCGAAGATTAAATAAGCTGAGACTGTTTTCACTCAATCATTTGTCTCAAGTTTGAGATGTGGGAATATAACATCTTACTTGGGATTAAAATCATTTTTACTGAGGAGAGTCTGGTAATCCCAAAAACCATTTTAAAAAGTATTTTTACACAAATGAAGAAAAAACTCTTTTCACATATTTTTTAGGGAGTGTTTGGGAAGCTATAAAAGTACTATACAAAAGCACTTTTTCATAAATCAAGTCAAACTCCTCCACATATTTAGGGGGTGTTTGGTGACATGTAAAAAACACTTTTCCTCAAAACGAGATAAACTCCTCTTTATATTTATTTTGTATACGGTAAAAGTATTTTTAAAACCATAGTTTGGTTTCTATCCAAATACCCCCTTATTTCTTATAAAATAAAATCACTTTTAAAATCATGATTTCGTTTTATCCAAAAACCCTTTTACTTTGTATATCATAAAATTGTTTTTAAAATCATGATTTGATTTTCACATAAACACTCCCTTAATGTAATTTGTCTTCATTTTGATTGATTTTGCTTTCAAAAATTTAAAACCAATGCTTTTGGCCACAAAATTTTATATTAGAAACAAAAATTTTTTAAACAGATTAAAATAAAATTTTGATTTTAGAAACTAGAAATAGTATTGAATGCAAAATATTTTACAAATTATATTATTGACAAATCATAAAATAGGAAAATGAATTGAGATAAATCACGCATAATATCTCAATGAAGATTGTTTTTTTTATGTCAGTTTTGATCTCACTCTCGCTATTTATTGTGAATTTAAATTATTCAAATCAAATCAAATTTCAATAATTTCCATTTATTTATTATTTTAAATTTATAAATTTTATTAAAATGTTAAACTCAAACTTATTGAATCAAGTTTCCCTAAATACGCAGAGTTGGCTTTATGAATTTACAGACTTCAAATCTTTAGTGATAATATATTAGTAAAATGACCACACAAAAAAGCCTAGAAGATATTAAATGATTGCAAGATGCTTTATTTTAACCATTTCAGATTAATCATTTATATTGAAGTGAAAATTCACTAATGTTGTTTGAATAAAGTTCACTGATATTATTTGGATTTTACCCATTACCTAAGTTCAGTAGGTATTAACAATTCTTGAATTTGTTTTAACCATTTCAGATTAGTCATTTACACCTAAGTGAAAATTTATTAAAATTTGTTTGGATATCCATTTCCTAAACTTCTTCAGCTATTAACAATTCTCGAATAGGTCTTTAATCATTTTGAATTAGCCATTTGTACCATACGATTGTACATTACAAAATAAGAATCAAACTTGTCATTGCAATTGCAAAGTTCCTAAATTTGAGAAGCCATTAAAAATTTTTCAATCAATTTTACTCATTTCGGATTATCAATTTGGAACACAATACTATACGTTATATACTTGGAAGAATAAAAATTATACTTGTTATTGCAATTGCAAAGTTCCTAATCTTGGGAAGTTATTAGCATTTTTTCAGTCAATTTTACCCATTTTGTATTACCAGTTTACAATAAGATATCGTACCTCACATATTTGGAAAAATAAGAATTAGGCCTCTTATTGCAATTACAAAACTCAACTTTTCAATCAATGTTATTTATTTAAGAGAGTAATTTACAACATGCTTGGCAAAATAAGACTTGGCACTGCCATTGCAATAATAAAATTCTTAAACTTGATAAGTTATTAAGAACTTTCAATCGATTTGACCAATTTCGAATTAGTAATTTACAACAAACGATGATACATTTCATAGTTAACAAATTGCGATTGCAAAGTTCTCAACCTTGACAAGCTATTAACAACTTTGCAATCGCATTTAGGAATAGCAATTTACAACTCGTTCTTATACATTACACACTTGGAAAAATAACGTATGAACCCGTAATTGCACTTAAACATGGGTTTGGATTGTGAATGGTTGAGACTAAATCTACAGGCACCAGAAATTAAGCATCACATGTTTACATCCAAATTCAACATGGGTTTGAATTGTGTGAAACAATAAATTTTCAAACACCCAAGGCCCATCCTGCAGAATAAAGCTCAGATCGTCCTTTTTCTCAAAATGAGAGAGATGAAGGTTCTTTTACTCTAGCTGAGGATACAGGAAAAGTAACTCGCACCAATATTTCAAACGAACAAAGTGGAATTAATCGTTTCGCTTTCCTTACAGCACCATTTACTAATAGACCGAGCTTCTGGGGCAGACAAAAACCTGCCATCAAATCAAATTAAGGGTATGTTTGGCTCAATGAGAGGAAGGGGAGGGGAGGGATTTTAATGGAGGGAAGGGGAGGGGAGGGGAGTGGAAGGATTTTAATATTATCTTGTTTGGATTTATAAAAAAAAGAGGGGAGGGGAGGGAAAAATATTTTAATATGGACAATTTTGCTCTTATTTTATTTAAGGTGTGGGCATAATGGTCACAACATGACAAAATATAAACATAATAGTCACAACATGACAAAATATGGGCATAATGGTCATAATATGACAAAATATTACTCTTTCCCTCTAAATCCTCTTAATTTTGGAGGGGAGGTTGAAGAAGGGAGGGGAGGGGAAATTTTAAAAAATTTTCCCTCCCCTCCTAAAATTTGTGTGTTGCCAAACAAAGGGAAATGATTAAAATCCCTCCCTCCCTCCCTCCCTCCCAAATCCCTCATACCAAACACACCCTAAAGGAACTCCTAAAATTTGTGTGTTGCCAAACAAAGGGAAATGATTAAAATCCCTCCCTCCCTCCCTCCCTCCCAAATCCCTCATACCAAACACACCCTAAAGGAAAATTACAGGGGTGATGATAAAAACTATTGTAAAAAGGATTGAAAGGGAAACATTCATGCTGGGGAAAAAAAGAAGGGGAAACTTTATGCTTACATACTTTTCAACTAGCTGCAAAATCTAATCTCAAGATCGTGGGCTACCTCTTCTGCTTGGCACTATGGGTAGGAGATTGCGAGACCAAGCATATAAACCTACTGAGAGATCCCCAACAGAGGCCTACACAAAATGCCTCATTAATCAGCATTAGCAATGTATCTCTATGTGATTTGCTATGCTTTTGAAGATCAGATTAGACATGTTAGGGAGTTTCTTTTGGATGTTTCCTTAATCCTTCTAACTTGTAATATCAAAACAGAATGCAGAATCTACTTTAATTCGACTATTCTTCGTCAACATTTGAAAGAAAGCAAAGAGGGATTCAATACATATTTCAGTAGTTTATCTTTATTGTACCGAAGTACGTATTCTTCCATAATATGCTGTCTAACTTCAAACTGAATTGAGTCTGATGCAGCTTCTCTTTAGTCAATTGGAGTCCTTACCTGAGCAAACAAATGATGGGATGGGAGATGGAATGGATGCATTGCAGCAATCACTGGCCGAGACACTTGCTGGTAATCCACCCAACCAGTCAGGGTCATCCGCAATCATGGCAAATTATGCATACTGAATTGAGAAAACCTAAGGTCGCCATTAAACACCCTCATCAGGAAATACCATGAGAAAGAGAAACAACAGTCCTATGTTTGGTTAACGCAGAAGAAGAGGGAATTTATGAGAAAGTTTCCAAGACAGACTTATCATTCTCACAACCATATGATGCCTCTAGTCTCCAAAACAGTCCTGTCACAAAGGGTGCTTTTTTCAACCGTTTCAGAGTGTGAACCTACTCTTAAATACAAGCATTACAATGAGCTATGAAATAATGCAACATCCCTCTGTTCATCATATTAACAATCAAACACTATCTCCGATCTTTAATATAAGAGTTAGTTGGAGGGTTACGTTTGATTTTAAATATAATACATCAATTCACTTTATTTCTCAAATTTATAAGTTTTCTCTAAAATATTCTCATTGATTGTTAGGGTTTTCCATCAAGGGGTGATGCACATTATTAAAATAGGTAGTTTAGAGAAGTAATTAATCAACTTAACTGATTTTCTCAATCTCTCCAAATTAGTCATCTAACTCTTATATTAAATATTGGAGATAGTACATTATAACCACAAGCACCCGACTTCACAGCAAAACCAGGAAAGCTCTGATTTTCTAAAAACACAATGTCTACGAGGTGAAGATGTGAAAGCCATTGAATTAGAAAAGGACATTTAATCACTCTCCAAATGGTATTCATCCCCAAACCTGCAAACAGAAACGAGGTTGTATTTTGGAGACGAGATAAATTAAAAATGTCATGAGGATAAAGTACTGACCTGTGTTGCAGTTTCACACGTGTTATGTCACAGAAATTTGCTGAGTGTTTTTTTACTTTTTCTTTTTTTCCAATTAAACAGGTATATGCATATGCACTCAGCTTCAAAAAAGGAAAAGATGGCAACTGTCAGTGGAAAACAAAAAGAATTAGGCCCACTTCCAATTTATTTGCATATGAATGAAGAACTTACCACTGTCGGATCATAAAATTGTTTCCATTGCTTCACAAGGATAGATTGGTACGTATCACAAGGGTAGAATAGAAAGTTCAATTACAGTATACACAATTAAACAATCCAATTGACATGGACCCAACGCACACCAAGGATAAAACAGCTGAGGTTAATACCAAACACACACACGGAGCTCAGAGAGAAAAGAACTTTAACTTCGAACTACAAAAGCAGAGGGAGACCAATGCAATTGCCTTTAAATGTCAATGGTTGTAAAAGATTATATGGTCAACAATTTTCACCAGAGTAACAAAAACATTAGTCAATTATTACAACAAATGTCAACATGAACACAAGTATCTAACCTTCTTTTATCGTTTTAGGAGACCCCTAACAATCATTTCATCAAGAAGATTCTCTGCCTTATCATTGTCTCCTTTTTCCAGAAGAGTTCCAATGATTGTTTCAAAAGTTACAAATTTGGGAGGCATCCATTCTCTCCCATTTGAAAAAGTAATGTCTTTGCCTCATCAAACAAGCCCTCCTTACAAAGTCCATTGATCATAGCAGTATATGCTTGGACATCCAAACGATAGCCTTTGACTAAAAGATACTGAAAAATCTGTTGTGCAGCATTTAACCTGCCCCCTTTGCACAAGCCATCAATAAGAATGGTATATGTGTAAATATCAGGTTGTATTCCCAGGACGCCCATTTTTTTAAATAGCATAATTGCTTCATCAAGACGCTGGCTCTTGAACAAACCATCTAACAAGGCATTGTAGGTTACTATATTTGGTAGATGACCACTACCATGCATATCGTAAATAAGTTCATGCACGTTTGAGATCTTTCGTGATTTGAACAGGCCATCAATAAGACTACTATATGTCACAATATCAGGAAACAAACTTTTGCATTGCATTTCTTGAAAGAGATCCATGGCTTCACCAATCCTTTTCATTTTACATAACCCATTAATCAAGATAGTGTAACTGAAAACATCAGGCAACACATCACTTTTGATCATTCTATTAAGAACCTTCTTCGACTCATCAACATTATTCATCATATAGTACCCATCCATTAAAGCATTGTAAGTAATAACATCAGCCTTTGTACCACATTTCATCATCCTACCAACTATTGCCTCAGCTTTGGTTATCCTCCCCTTTTTACAAAATGCATCTATCAATATATTGAAGGTATAAATACTAGGTCTGATGCCTTCTAGCACCATTTCATTTAGCAACCACGTGGCTTCGTGCCATTGATCCATGCAACAGAAACCATATATTAGAGAGTTGTAGGTAACAATATCCCAGAGATATTCCCCTATCAGTCATTTCATGATATAATTTTTTTGCCTCAATTGCAAGCCCTTCTTTACAAAGACCATCTATGACTGTGTTGTACATAACTAAATCAGGCTTAACTAACCCTGTCTCCATCTTTCGAAGCAATTTAAGAGCAGCGGACGTTTTTCCAATTTTATAGAAGCCATTAATCAGGATACCATAGCTTACTTCATTTAACAGAAATCCTTTTGTCAACAAGTCAGTATGAAAGACAAGGGCTTCTCTAACGTTATTATTAATGCAGAGACCTTTCAACAGAGTACTTAAAGTTATTATACCTGGCTGACGGCTCATCTTGAGAATCTTCCCTAGTACCATTTAAGGGCATGATTTGGTGGAAGAGTATCTATATTGATATATTGATATATTGATTGATGATTGATGTGTCAAATAATGTGATGATAAACGAAAAGGCATTATAATTCCATTAGTGCCTACTAAAATTAGGGGTGAGCAAAACCGAATCGAAACTGAAAACCGAACCAAACCGAACTCAATCCAGTTATTTCGGTTCGGTTATTTTGGTTCTTTTTTTTCAGTTAGTTTATTCGAGTATTTTGGTTATCAGTGTTCGATTCGGTGTCCTGAAAAATAATCTGGTTAGTATTGAAATAGCTGAATTTGAATGAACTTTTTTTTTAAATATTTCTCTCCTGGTCCCTACTCCCCAGTCCCCACGGCCCACCTATTCTTATTATTTTCTTTTGACTCCATCTATCCAGTGATCCAGTCTAGTAGTCCACTAGTCCCGTGGCCCACACCGGCCCAGAGTTCGATTCCACCTCAGTTCACACCTTCACGGCCTCATACTCACAGTCACACTCAGTCATTACTCACTCGTTTCCCTCTCTCCCAAACTCTCAAAGACTCCCATCTCCTCTCAAGCCCTAAGTCTCACAGTCACAGGCCGGTGCAGGCGGATTGCGCAGCTTAAATCTGAAGTTCTCAATGACTCCTTTCATTCTAAGAAGTTCTGATCTACACTCCTTAGCTTAGCCGTTACCGTCGTCGTCGTAAGGAGCAAAGTCTGAACTTCAAACTTCAAACTCCCTCCATCGATCGGTCATCGCAGATCGCCACAATCTCCATATAGGAGCCTCACATCGCAGTCAGCCAATCACCACTCAACTTGCCACCAGTCTTCATATAATAGGAGCATTATAATCGCGACCTTGGATCCCTCTCCCTTCAACCTTCTCCACGTGCAGCCAAGTAAAATGTGGTATTCAAGTTGTAGAAATTTTTTCAGCTACTGTTCTAGTGTTCTATGATCTTTCTGTGATATTTTTTTTATATAATCCACATGTGCCTTTCATTGCTCCCTCTTCATTTGAGTGATTTATGTTTTTCTTTGATAATTGATACGGGTATATTGGATAGACAGAACATAATATGATTGTAAAACAATTTTACTTAATTTGGTGGTTTATTTGTATTTGAAATTAATACTCTGCATCTGACATCAATTATATATTGATTGAAACCATGGATGATGCTTGATTATATCTAACATCCCTCTGTATTCAAGTGGTTTACTTATGTTTTTCGATATCATAATCCCTTGTCCCTTTCTATTCTTTTGCAGCATATATATTGATTGAAAGTCAAAACCATGGGTGATGCTTGATTATATAATCTATTGTAAATTAAAAAGAAGAGAGATTGATTATAGATAGGAGTTATCTATTCATTATAAATTGTCCTCATTTGTTTTCTTATATACAACTACAGAGGGTAGGGGTGTCATTCCTTCAGTCAACAATTTGATAGAACCCCATGCAGTGGAGAAAATTAAGCACGCCTTCTTCAAGCCTTCAATTTATTATTTCATAATGGTTTGATGATGCAGTGGAGAAAATTTTGTAACTTGTTCCACTTTGATGATGGTGTAACTAATATATTTTTTTAAAACAATTAGATATCTTCTCATGGTGAAACTACGGGTGATGCTCAAGTTAGGGATGATGATGCTACTCAAACAACGAAGTCTTCAATGCCAGGAGCAAGTGGGACTACAAAAAGAAACAGCATGAAATCAAAATCAAAGGCTTGGGAACATTTCACAAATTTGTGAATGAGAGAGGTAAAACTAGAGGTAAGTGCAACTATTGTGAAAAAAATCTTGCATGTGATTCAAAAGCTAATGGAACCACTACACTTAACAACCATTTGATTACTTATAAATTGAAGCTCCCTCTTGAAGAACTTACGCAATCTCACTTGAACTTTAATATAGATGACAAAATGGGTCTTGCTAATTGGAAATTTGATCAAGATGCTATTAGAAAAGCCTTATCATGCATGATAATTACTGATGAATTACATTTCAAGTTTGTTGAGGGGGATGGGTTTAGGCAATTTATGTCAATTGCTCAACCTAGGTTTAAAATTCCATCAAGATGGACTGTTGCTTATAACTATTTTGGGATCTACATTGATGAAAAAGTTAAATTTAAAGATTATTTACTGCATAAGAGGCAAAGGGTTTGCCTCACCACTGACACTTGGACTTCCATGCAAAGAATCAATTATATGTGCGTTACTGCTCATTTTAATGATGCATGGATATTGAGAAGGAGGATTTTAAATTTCATTCCTATTTCTAGTCATAAGGGGAAGGATATTGGAATGGAAATAGAAAAATGTCTACTTGAATGGGGAATTGAAAGGGTGCTCATAAGTACTGTGGATAATGCTAGTTCTAATGATGTCATGGTTCAATATTTAGAACAAAAAATTATGAATTAGGGTCACTCAATTATGAAATGTCAATTCTTGCATATGAGATGTGTTGCACACATAATCAACTTGATTGTTACTGATGGGTTGAAAGAAATAGGGAGTTATGTGAAAAAAGTTAGAGAAGTTGTTCACTATATTAGACAATCACCCCTTAGGATGAGAAAGTTTAAAGAGAGTAGGCGTGGATGAAAAGATTCAAAGTAAGCAAATCTTATGCTTAGATGTCCCTTTTCGGTGGAACTCTACCTATTTGATGTTAGAGACTGCTCAAAAATTTGAGGCAGCCTTCAAAAGGTTTAAGGATAAAGATCCTTATTTTCGATTTGATCTTCAAGATGAAGAGAGGGTGCCTGAGTCTGAAGATTGGAAGAATGTTAGTAGGATGATTATGATGTTGGGTCATTTTTATGAGCTTACCTTGACAATCCTTCTCAAACTTGGGTTCATTTTTCTTCTAGCATATTTACAATTTTGTGGGTGTTCTGGTGTTTTCAAGGATATTAAATTTTGGGAGAATTGCAATTGCATATTTACAACTTGTCATTAACTTTTTAATAATTATTCTATCTCACAATATATGTAGTGTGTAATAAGATATATTTGATTTTGGAATTTAAAAATTTTATTGCACCTTTCAAATATCCAAATTCTTTGTACAAAAAGAGCCCAAAAAATCATTATTTCTCACTATTTCAACTTCTTGTGCTTGCTAGGCTAGAATAGTACTTGAAAAAAAAAGACCCAATAAAAGGCCCAATAACCGAATAAGCCCACTAACCGAACAGAATATATTTTGGTTATTTCAGTTCGGTTAGTTTACTCTGTTCAGTTTCGGTTCGGTTTCTTCATTGTGATCATTTCGGTTATTCGGTTAGTTCAGTTATTAACACTAACTGAACCGATTAACTGATTACTCAGCCCTAACTGAAATTAAATGTTACATATTTCTGGTAAAATTCTGATCTTCCACTTGCAGCAATGTAGAGCAGTTTCTCCTTTCTCTAGATGGCAGATTGAGAAACATCTCTAGGCTATAAAGCAAAATGAAGATCTAAAATAATGAAATAGACAAAAAACAGTATAAATTTTAGTAGGTCAGTATCCCTATGATTATTGCAATTAAAAACGTTCTTTTGAAATGATAGTAACCATGCATTCCTGGAGAGTCACGTTGGCATATAGCATGGATGAGTAATACGCAAATTGATTCCCTAACCAAGCACAGAGCTTTGCTACTTTTTCACTGTGCAGAAGTCTTAACTAAAGTTGAGACATGATTTGTCATAAATTTTATTGTCCGAGTTCAAAAAAGACTGTTTTAAATGAAATTTGATACTGAGCTTTCAAAAGGCTAACACAATTTGTTTCCTTCAACGTGAAACCTGTAGTGGTACGGGGTACCTACTAATCAACTCTGCAGGAACCAACACCACCAATTTTGCAATTGAAATGGCTACCTAGATATGTAAAGAGAAAGAGTTGATCCTACATATATAGCAAAACAAAATAGCAAAAGAAAAAGATTCAAGAGAAGACTGTTAAATGATACTACCTCTGGTCTTAATTATAAGAGCTAGTTGATTAATTTGAAGAGATTAAGAAAAAAAGTTAAGTTAGTTATTTGTAATAAATATGTGTTATCTTTCCTAAAATATCCTTGCTAATTAAATGTATTGGCTATAACTATCATTGTTAGGAGGACTATCTTGGAAAAAGATACATAAATATGAGAGATAAAATGGATTAAGATCTTATATTTAGGATCAAGATAAAAGTCAAATAAGGTCTTATATTAAGGACCGGAGGTAGTATTAGCTAGAACTTTCAAAAAGGAGAAAATTCGATTTGCTTCCTTAAACATGAAACTTGTAGGGGTACCTCCAAATCAACTCCGCTGGAACCCATAGAGCACCCAATGTAACAATGCTTCGTTTGTGAACGGTGGGATGGGAGAGTGCTACTGGACAAGGCTTATGTGTAAATCTATTTTATATGAAGAATGATTTGCACTATGAATCTTGCAATAGTCCTACAGATTTTTTTTTTTGTATATATTTTGGTATATTAATTAATATATTTGTAATAATAATGTAGATGAGAAACCTTTTCACTAAATGGCGTCTTGTAACGTCCTTGACCT